GAAGGGAGGAAGGGGAGGAAGAAACCAAGAAAAAAAAGGAGAAAGGAATGAAGGGAGTACAGAGAAGGGAGGAAGAAACGAAGGAACAAAGGAAGAAAGGAAAGAGAGAGGAGGAAGGAAGGGGAGAGAAGGGAGAAAGGAAAGAAGAATGGAAGGAGGGAGGGAGGAAGGAAACCTGCAGAAGGCTGGGGTTTGGGTTTTTTTTGTGGTTTTTTTTTGCAGATTTTGAAGATCAGTTGGGACAAGAACGTGACCCAAATGAAGTCGCAGCCTTTCTATTTTCACCTTTAGGGATCCCAGGATCTTTGCTGTCTCTTGCCGTCAAATCCACCCGTTGCGGGAGAAACCCGATCCAGGTTAGGAGCCAGCCTGTCCGGAGCAGCCACCTGTTCTTCAGCTGTTCTGGAATCGGATTTCCTGCCGGATGCGGCCACGGCCCTCCCCGCCCTCCCTCTTCAGGAGGCACACCAAAAAAACCACAACCATAACAGGGAGTTGCCCCAAAGGCCACTTGTGTGATGCCCTGCGGAAAAGGCAAATGCGATTGTTGCCCCTCACCCCCCCAAATTTGGAGATGAGTGTCATGCCCCTGTCGGGAAGACGAGGAAACTGGGGAAGGGCAAAGTCCAGCTGGGCAGAGCAGGGGAAGATGTAGAACAAGGGAGAGGGAGTTCAGAGGAAGGCCCAGGCCCACCCCCTCTTCATCCTAGGGCACGCAGGCAGGAACGGAGAAGGGAGCAACGTGGTTGCATGGCTTACGGGGGAGGAAAGGGCCCTGATTCCCTTCATTAGCCACAGCTGGGAAGGGAGTTTAAAAGGGATGCAAGCTGAGCAGGGCGTCTGCTGGGAACAAACGTGAGTTTATCTTGTGTTGACTTGGCTCATCTGTGTTCCTGGCGTTCTCCCAACCGTGTTGAGTTACTGCCGTGCCTTCAAGTCTGGAATTTTTGCTCCTGCCCTGTCGGACTAATTACCTCCTTTTGCCTTGATTGGGACTTATAGTTACAGTTTTTGTTCACCACGTTTTGGACTTGATTCTCTGCAGCCCAAGGCTGCTCCTGGGAGAGTTTTTCTCCAGCCCAGAAGGTAACCAGGACTTTGGGGGCAAAGTTGGAGCTAATAAAGGGACTCCTACTGATTATCTGAATTCTAGGAATTGAAGTCCACAAGTCTTAAAGTTGCCAAGTTTGGGAACCTCTGAGCTAAAATATGGCATCCCCCTGCCCCCCCCCCGCCCCGTAGCCTGTTCCTTAGCAGTGAAAATTCAAAGCACCCACAGTACAATCTCCAGGTAGTCCTCGACTTACAACAGCTCATTTAGTGACCAATTTTCCAAGTTACAAAGGCACTGGAAAAAGTGACTTAGGACCCGTGTTTCACATTTACGACCGTTGCAGGATCCCCATGGTTACCGTGATCAAAATTCAGACCCTTGGCAGCTGACTCGTATTTATGACCACTACGGCGTCCCGGGGTCAATGTGATTCCCTTTTGCGACCTTCCGGCAAGCCAAGTCCACGGGGAAGCCCGGTTCACTTAACAACCGGGTAACTAACTTTAACAACTGCAGGGATTCACTTAACAGTGGTGGCAAGAAAGGTTATAAAATGGGGGCAAAACTCACTTAGCCAATGTTTCGCTTAGCTGCGGAAAGGTTTTGGTTCAATTGTGGCCATAAGTTGAGGACCAGCTATACACTGCAGGGTTGTTGTGTGAATAATGCAGTTTGACATTTTCTGGAGGCCTGGAAAGCATCCAACCACCGTGTTTTTAATTCTCCTTTGCAGGGTTATTGCAAGGATTACTGCTCTAATGCAGGGGTCCCCAACCACTGGTCCGCGGACCGGTACCGGTCCGTGGAACAAGTCCTACCGGGCTGCTGGTTTGCTGGGCGCCGCCATCTTGTTTTGATGAAAAAGTGCTTCCGGTGAGCTTTTCCGGGTAAAAAGCTCACCGGAAGCACTTTTTCATCAAAAAAAGATGGCGGCGCCCAGCTGATGCCGGTACCGGGCCGCGCCATAAAAAAGGTTGGGGATCACTGCTCTAATGGACAGCTATTCCTCGACTTATGACCATAATTCAGCCCGGGCTATAATGCTTGTACGGCGAGTCATAGAAACATCAAAAACAGTTGGCGTGAAAACACCTAGTGGCCCATCAAGTCTGCCCTTTTCCGTTTTTAATATTTTTTTTAATTTCTTAAATTATTGTCCGATGATGGAAGTGTTTATCACATTTACCGTGTTTCTCATATAATAAGGCCGGGTCTTATTTTTTTTTGAGCCCTGAAAAAAATGGCTAGGCCGTCTTTTCGGGGGTGTCTTAATTTCCCCCCCCTTGCATCTTCGGGCGGGCGGCGATGGCTTGGATGTTGACCTCGGTGTTGGTGGGGCACTTCGTATCGGGGTCAACGCAGGCAGCACCATATCCGGGTGTGCAACAAAAGTACTTCCTAACGGCAAGCCCCCCCACCATTCCCCCCCATTTTGCATGTTTTAATATAGGCCTTAATTTGGGGGGAGGGGCTTAATTTCATTTCATGCCTATAAAACATGCTGGGACTTCCTATTGGGGGAGGCTGTATTGTTGGAGAAACAGGGTATTTGTTCCGATTTTATGACCTTTATATTTATACTAGCTGGATACCCATGCTTCGCTACGAAACTAGGTGATCAGGCTTAGTTTTGGGGGAGGAAAATAAGGGGGGGAAAATTCTGCCTCGGCCTACCAGCATCCATCAGTATTCCTCTGGCTAGTGTCCTGACAGTGTGTGAGAGAGTTGAGGGCTGTTTGGAAACTGAAAGAGTATTTGCTGTGTGAGCAAGGAAACAGCAAGGAGCCTGGGCGTGGCTTAGCTCAACTGTTCTGTACTAAAGCTGGTTGCTTGCTCTGAAACTAAAACTGAAACTGAAACTCCTCTCCTCTGCTTGTGTTTTGCATTTGGAGCAGATTTCTTTTCAGGTGGGGAGGGGGAGTAGAACTCTTTAGCATCAGAGCGTGTTAATAATAATAACAATATAGGAAATACTGTAAATGCTCTGATGGTCATTTCGAAAAATCTTTTCTTAGTGAGCACCTAGAAGCCAAGAGGAACGTACGGGCCAAATTTCCAGTTTGTAGGCTTTACGGTTCTGGAGATTTTGTGATGATGCGTGAGTGGTCTTTCGATTTTATATATAGATAGATTACGCTGTTATTTTTTATTTTGGTTAGGAAAGAAGCTAGAACAGATCAGCAGGGTGTGGGTTAGGGTTAAGTAGACATGCCCAAAACTACCCACCAGTCTTGATAAAATCTATAAAGGAGTTAATTTTGCTTGCCTTGAATGCCATACAGCCGATTGAGACGCGACCGTCGTCCTTCATCGGGGTAGGGTACCGATAACCAGGGCATCTCGCTGAAATATTGTTTGAACGACTCTTCCGACCTACAGGGAATATAGGAATTAGAATAACAGAATTTGAAGGGACCTTGGAGGTCTTCTAGTCCAACCCTCTGCTTAGGCAGGAAATCCTATACCATTTCAGTCCATTGTTGATCCAGTCTCTTCTTAAAAACCTCCAGTGTTGGAGCAGCCACAACTTCTGGAGGCAGGTTGTTCCACTGGTTAATTGTTCTTACTGTGAGGAAATTTCTCCTCAGTTCTAGGGTTGCTTCTCTCCTTGTTTAGTTTCCATCCATTATTCCTTGTCTGGCCTTCAGGTGCTTTGGAAAATAGCTTGACCCTTCCTCCTCTCTGTGGCAGCCCCTGAGATATTGGAAGACTGCTATCCTGTCTCCCCTGGTCCTTCTCTTCCCTAGACTAGCCAGGCCCAGTTCCTGCAACTGTTCTCTATATGTTTTAAGTCTCCAGTCCCCTAATCATCCTGGTTGCTCTTCTCTGCACTCTTTCCAGAGTCTCAACATCTTTTTTTACATCGTGGCAACCAAAACTGGATTCCAACAGCATTCCAAGCGTGGCCTTATCAAGGCATTATAAAGTGATCTTGATTCTATCCCTCTGTTTATGCAGCCTAGAACTGGCCTTTTTGGCGGCTGCTGCACACGGCTGGCTTGTATTTGAGTGAGTTCCTTCTCACAGTTACTACTATTGAGCCATACTCTGTACCAGTGTATTTGGTCTTCCTTCCTTCCTTCCTTCCTTCCTTCCTTCCTTCCTCCCTCCCTCCCTCCCTCCCTCCATTACTCCTTCCTTTTCTTCCTCCCTCCCTTTTTATGCTTCCTTGCCTTTTTCCTTTCTTCTTTTCTTTCTCCATTTCTTTCTTTTATTCTTCACCCTCTCCTTCTTCCATCCCTTCCTGTACCTGTCTCTCCTTCCCTGCCTCCATCTCCTTCACTTCACTTATTTTCTTAACCTTCCTTCCTTCCATCTTCCCTCTTTTTTCTTCATTCTCCAAACCTTCCTTCCTTCTCCCCATGTCATTTTCTCTTCTCTCCTCTTCATTTTCCTTCTTTCTTCCTTCCCTTCCTTTTTCTCCTTCCTTCTTCTTTCCTTCCCCTTTCTTTCTTTTATTCCTCTCTCCTCCCTCCCTCCCTCCTTCCTTTCTTCCTCTTTCCTTATCTCCTTCCCTCTCTCTTCTTCATTCCCTTCCTTCCTTCCTCCCTCCCTCCCCTTTTTATACAAAAAGGAGGGCTCAGAATACATCACTGAGCTCCGTTCCACCCAGGTATAAAAAGGGCTTAAAAAAGCAAACAGGGTTTATGCCCCAGAGTTTGGGATTCATATTCAATTACCTGTCTGCACTAACGAAGACAATCTCGAATTTTTGACCAGCGTCTTTGATTTTCCGGTAAGATTCCACCAGAACCCGAGTGAGACTTCTACAGGGTGGGCACTGCAGAAAGAAAAAGTTTTTTAAAAAAAGAAGTTAAAATTAAGGCAAACAGCCCAGGAATTGGCTCCTCTAGGGAAGCTCTTGATATCCTACAAAAAAGACATTTCCCCCTACTTTTCTCTTCGAGTGCCAGAAATAACTAGGATAATATACAAGCAGGCTGGCAAACTGATACACACGGAGTACTAGAATCTTAACAAACCAGGTAGTCCTCAATTTACAACAGTTCATTTAGTGACCATTCGACGTTCCAACGGCACCGATAAACATGACTTGTGACCGTTTTTCACACTTGCGACCATTCTAGCATCTCTATAGTCAGGGGACTGAAATTCGGATGCTAACTGACTTATATTTACGACGGCCGCAGTGTCCCGGGGTCACGATCCACGGGGAAAAGTCAGATCCGCTCAGCACCTGTGTTACTAACTTCACTGCATGGATTCACTTCACAAATGTGACCGGAAAGCTCGTATAACGGGAGGGAAATGAACATGTGTCCCACTTAGCGACAGAAATTTGGGGCTCCATTCTGGTCGTAACTTGAGGACTACCTGTAGGGATTCAGGAGTGCGGTCACATGACCCTGGAGGCCCCCCTATACCTGTGATGGCGAACCTATGGCACGTGTGCCACAGGTGGCACGCAGAGCATTTGTGCCGGCATGCGCCCTTCAGGCAAACTTACCTCACTGGGCATGTGCGCGACTCACAGCTGATTTTTGGTCGGTTTGAGGCCTTTTTCGGGCTTCCAAAGGCTTGAGGAAGGCTTCTGCAGGCCGAGAAATAGCCCCCTTTCATCACTTCCCGTTTTTCCAAAAATATTGGAAGTGACGAAACGGGGCTAGTTTTCGGCCTGCAAAGCTTGCAGAAGCCTGCAGAAGCCTTCCTCAAGCTTTTGGGAGGCCGAAAAGGGCCTCAAACCGGCTGTGAGACGCAGTGCAGGTGGCGGAGGTGGGTGGGTGGGGATTGCGCGCACATGCGTAGGGGGCGTGCGGGGACATTGCCTTCTGGGTCCTGGCATGAGCATGGAAGCGCGCGCACAATTTTTGGCACAGGAGGCCAAAAAGGTTAGCCACCACGGCCCTATACACACCATTGGATCTCTGATTCCAGGTCATAAAGTTCCCCTACCCACCCACCTCAGGTAGGCCTGATGCCTGTTCAAACGGTTGCTAACCAACCGGTCAGCAGTCTAGAACAGAGATCTCCAAACTTGGCGACTTTTAAG